CTGGGATCGTCTGGGAGTGGGTTTGGAGCCCCCGTGGCCCGTCGGATGCGTCGGAAAAGCCCAAAGTCGAACTTGTGAAACATGTCCGTTTCACGCAGCGAATGGGCCAATTTTTCCGTCTCGGAACCTTTTGGAAACACATCTCGGAGGCCCTCGGGGGGGCTCGTGGGGCCCTTTTCTGCCATCCGGGACGCCTCGTGGCCCGTCTTTGGGCTGCCGTGCGCGTCGTGGACCGCTCGTTGAGGATCCAGAACCATGTCGAGGCCACCCCAGGAGTCTTTGCACGATTTACACGAGATTTTGCACGCTTTTCTGGACGGATGACCCCTCCGGGGCCGCCCGGGACTTCCGGGGAGACCCCCCCCCCCCTCCAAATCGGCCGGACCGGGCCCCGGGGGGAGGGGTTTGGGGAGGGGGAACATCTCACACGCCGATGAACCCCAAGGGGTCGGCGGATATTGACATCGACAGGATTTGTCAATTCTCGTGAGTAGTCCCGACGAGACTGACAAGAGAGAGGAGGACGAGGAGGACGAGGAGGGAGGAGGAGGAGAAGGAGGAGGAGGTGGGGAGGAGTAGGAGGAATAGGAGGAGTAGGAGGAGGAGGAGGAGGAGGAGGAGGAGGAGGAGGAGGAGGAGGAGGAGGAGGAGGAGGGAGGAGGAAGAGGAGGAGGAGGAGGAGGAGGAGGAGGAGGAGGAGGAGGAGGAGACGGTGGAGAAGGTGGAGAAGGTGGAGAAGGAAGAGGAGGACGAGGAGGACGAGGAGGACGAGGAGGACGCGAGGGGTCAGAAGGCTCTGCCTCTCTGCCGCTGCTGCTCCTTTACCCCGCCGCCTTCCTTCCCCCGTTGCGGGTGTCTCGATCGACCCTAATGCTGGCCGCCAAGCGGAGCAGCGAAGCCGCAGGTAGTCCTTCCATGCGATGCCGTCGGGCAGCTCCGCCGTCGTCTGCCCGATTTGCGCCGCGGTGGGCAGCACACCGAGCCTGTGCTCTCGGGCGGGCCCCTGCGGGCCCACTGGGGCCCAGAGGCCGCACGGCGCGGCGTGCACGGCAAGGTGTTGGGCGCCCAGTGGACACATCGAGTAAGACATCCGCCTGTTAGGGGGTGCCGCCCGGGGAGTGTCGCATCCCTGGATGTCCCTGGGGACCCACGGCAGCTCTGGGGCACCCACCCTGCAGGACCCCGAAGGATCCACGAACCACGTCTTGGGGCACCCACCCTACAGGACCGCGAAGGAACCACGAGCCACGTGGCCCCAGACCTCCACATGGCAAGGGCCCTTGTCGCAAGTGCCTGCTGCGCTGCCCCTCTCGCGGCGTGCTGGTGACCACGGGGCCCGGTGACCGCGGGGGACTTTGGGTCTGCCGAGACGGCCGTCGGCGCGGGGCCTCGCGTCGGCCGGGCGGGGCCAGCGCTGCCGCCCGCGCTGCGGGCGGAAACGCGGCCGAAGGCTGCGCGTCGGGGAGCGCGGGCGCAGCGTTGCGCCCCAAGGCCTCGCTGACTTGAGATAGCCACCCAGTCTGGAGGACGCGAGCGCCAAAGCAACGCGCAGGCTCCCTGCGATGTCGGGGATCGTTTTTGTTGTTGGTTCGATCTGTGCTTGGGGAGCCACAGCGAAGGCCACCCCCTCCCGAAATCTTTGGCCGATTCTCGGGCCTCGGTCAAGCTTCGATTTTAGGATAGGTGGTTGGAATCCACTCCCCCTCTGTTATGAGGCCGTTGTATAGGAGAGGGAACAGAGGACAGAGTGTTTTCACAGTTTTGAGGAATTAGTGAATTCAGTATGGGTCCGGCTTGAAGTGCCTCGAAGAAAGCGCGCGCACCCGAATCGCAGACAGATGGCTATATGCGGACCCAGGACACTTTGCTTCCCGTCGTCGTCCTCGCCCTTGCTCCGTTCCCCTTCCTTTCCTCCCTCCCCTGGATGGTGTCGAAAGCGTCCGCGGCTCGCGCGGGGGAGCGCCCCTTCCCACCTCCCTCATTATTCCTCGTTCCTCTTTGCCTCCCTGCTCCACCATCCGTCGTCCTACCTCGCCCACCCTCCTTGCTCGAAAAGTAAGTCCCTGGCGCCGCGTGCCCGCGTCAGCGGTAAATGCTTTTTCGATATCCGAGCACAGCGGCGCAACCAAACAAGGGGGATTGCCAATGCGAGAGTTCAGGCCGCACCCAAAATGCGGGCGGCACGGCCGTCGAGCACAGTCGCATCGCTAACATGTAAATTACAGGTGCCTGCGGCAAGTTCCGCCCCCCGTGCCAGAGCAGTGATCTATATGGCGACGCGTGGAGTTTTGACTGTTAAGAGGTCCTTGACATGTGACATCTCTCGTGTTTTCGGACTGTTGCGCGGCATTCTTTGGGGTCCTTCGAGGCCTTTTGGGACGTTTTCGGGCCGTTTGGGGCCGCTTTGGCGCCGCGTTGCACCGCGGCCGCCCTGGGCCAGGGAAGCGTGAATTTGCGGCTCTCTCGGGGGCGCCCTGGGCCGGGGAAGTGTGTATTTGCATTCCCCCCCAGCTGGGCATGTCGACCTCGGTTCTGGGTTGGCAAAGTCGGGGCGCCCTCGAGGTGGCGAGCGTTCACCTTTTTCGAAATACACAGATCAATGTGCGATCTGTGTACACAGTTTGTGTCTTCAACTGTGTATTTTCGTGTGTGGGCCCGCTGTTTACACAGATCGTGGTGTGATCTGTGTACACATCTCGTTCCCATTTGTGTATTTGGAGTGTGCCCCTCGCGGGTGGTGTTGAATTGGCGGGAACTTTCGCGTTTCTCTTCCGGCTGGTCCAGGGGCGGCGTCGTGCGCGGTCGAAATACACAGTTCGTGTCTCCAACTGTGCATTTGTTGCGCGCCTCTCGCTGGAGTGGTCACTGGGCGGGAGTTTCCGCGGGTCTCCCGGCTGGTCCAGGAGGGGGCAGTGGTCTGGGCATGCAAAGGCGCGGGGGGGGGGGATGGTGGGCTGTGGGAAGGAAGGGGTTCGATAGGAGGGGTGGCCGAGGGGCCAAGGATGAACGGGATTGGACGAGAGCGGAGGAAGGGAACCCGGGAGGACCTGCATCATCGGCGTCAGCATCACGAGGGCGAGGGAGGGGGGGGGGCAGAAGTTTGGGGCATGATGTGCATTGGGGCGTAGAGGATGGGAGGAGGGCAGGCATGTGGACGATGGGGGAACGAATCCAGCGCAGGAGGACGACGAGGAACGACGTGAATTGACACATGGGGGGGGGGCAGTGTGGATGAACGGCGTGATGAGGACTGGGGCAATCGGAGGGGCATGACGAGGGTGGGGCCGCAGCGAAGGGATATTTGGAAGAGGCGGGGGATGGGGCATGAGTTCGAGGCGGGCGCCAGCTAACGATTAGCTGAACAGTGTTTTGCGTGTCTTCGCACCCCCGCAGCACAGTGACTGTTTGCAGAACTCATGATATGGGTAATCGTGCGTTTCGTGCTTCCAGGCCAAAGGCTCGTTTCCGCGACGCCCCTTGGTTTCGCGATGATGCCGCCCCGATCTGCCAGACCGCATATGCACAGATACGCAGAATATGTGTTGCAACGTTTGTTTCATGACCCTCTCTACACTAACAGACCCACGTTGGAACCCAAATAGGTGGCTATTTCCCTTCGTCGACACCGCGCGCGTCATCCCCTGGTCCGCTAGCGATATGTGGGTATGCGTATTGTCAACCTGTCCTGTGGGAAGTCTCTGAGGGATTGGCGACGTTCCGCAAACGGGTTCTTGGGACCCCCCACCCGACGGTTTTTGCCCCGGAACCGATCCTGACCCCCCACCTGGTCCGACCCCCGTACCATGCTGGGAGCTCTGTTCTTGGGACCCCCCACGCGACGATTGTTGCCCCGGAACCGACCCTGACCCCCTACCTGGTCCGACCCCCGTACCATTTTTGGAGCTCTGTTTTTGGGACCCCCCACGCGACGATTTATGCCCCAGAACCGACCCTGACCTCTCACCTGGTCCGACCCCCGTACCATGCTGGGAGCTCTGTTCTTGGGACCCCCAACCCGACGATTTTTCCCCCGGAACCGACCCTGACCCCCCACCTGGTCCGACCCCCGTACCATTCTGGGAGCTCTGTTTTTGGGACCCCGCACCCGACGATTTCCCCCCCCGGAACCGACCCTGACCCCCTAAAGTCGTATGCGTACAGGTCCAGGTAACTCTAGGTAAGTCCTGCGCATCCACGTACATCCATGCAAATCCAAGTCATTTTTTTGGCCATAAAATCCAGCGGGAGTCGAGGCACGGCCGAAGCCGGTCAGCCCAGAACGCGGACACCCTAAGATCATGGCTGGACGTTTCGGCAATCTGCGGGAAGGTCGTCATCCCACCAAGGGAGGCCAGTTTTCATCAGGTCAAAGTTGATCGTTCGGGATCGGCTCGAGGGTCGGCGAGGACTTCGCGCCACTGTTACTCTGTTACAAACCCCAGTTTGCCTGACAGCTTCATCCCAGTCACACTTCCCCCCCTTTCCTGCTAGCCCTCCTCCCTTCCATTTCCCACCCCTCCCCCTCCACTTCCCCCCTCTCCCCCCCGTCAGCATGGACGTATTCGCCCGTGTCCCACGGAATTGGCGAGAGAAGTACCTCTTCAACGGATCCAGGACAGAGGGGTCGCATGCGATAGCATCTTTCCCAGACCAGGTCCGTCATGGCTTCTCACTGGAGTGAGCCTGAATGGGTGCCGAAGCGAAGCTAAACTCCCGCTCGTCCTCCTCCTGTCCATTCCTGTCCTCCCCACCCCGTGGGCCGGGAGTCACGGCCGCGAAAGAGGACGTCTGCGCCAGGGGTCGCTGTTCCGCCGCCACCTATTGCGTTTGCCCATGGGCTCTGTGGGGGTGGTGGCGCTTGCGGTTGGGCCCCGAGGGGCCTGTCACCTGACACATGAGCAGTCCAATGAGCCCCCCCTCCCTCTCTCCCCTCCGCGCCCGCCTCTGCCCCCCATTTCCCCTTCGCCTGCGGCCGGCGCCTCCCCCCCCTGTTCTGGCAGGATGTGCCCGCAGTCGCCCCCGGACACGGCGCGCGGGTATTCCTGCAAGAGAGGCGCTCTGAACCCTCCCTTTTCTGCTGCAGCTGCCGACGGCCCATCGAACAACAAAATATTGTATACAGAATCTCTCGGATCTCCGCGCGGAATTCTTGGATCGGCGCTGGGCCCCCCTGGCGGCGCCTCCGCCGCCGCCCTTGGCCAGGGGCGGCGGGTCCAGCGACGATCCTAGAAATCCGCGTGGACCTCCGAAAGCTTATCATTTTACTGCGGTTTGTCCCCATCTGTGTTGGTCTGGAGGGCCAACGTCGGCAGAGGCTTGAGGTTTGCGGTTTGCGGGCCTTTCCGTCGGTTCTCTGGTTTTTTGCCGCTTCTGGGTGCTCTCCAGTAGTTGCGCCTCGTCGAGAGCCTTCCGGGGGTGCATGGATCTTCCCTAACGGTCGCAGGAGGCCCGACTCATGGCCCGCCATCGGGGACACAATCAGGGTCCGTTCTGATCCGATCGACCCGATCCGATATCCATTCTGGCCGGCTCGATACGACTCGGTTCCGAAGTTCCGCCGATCCGATGTGGGCCGTTTGCATGTGGCGTCGTCGGCCATCTTGGAGTAGCCGATCCGATTCGATTCCAGTTCCGTGCTAACGCAGCCCGATCTGGCGCTCATTCCGATCCGATTCGATTTGCCGATTCAGTGTTGATTGGTCTTGCTTTTGTCGCCTTGTTTTGGATGAGCAGCAGACCGAACATAATGGGCATGTGATCTCGGAGGAACCGCGCGGGCTTCTTGGTTCAGCGTTGGATCCCCTCCCTTGGCAGCGCTTCTGGGGTCGCCCCATGGCGCGTTTCGGTTCCAGCGCCTATCCAAAACATCAGCGCGGACCTCTGAAAGTTTATGTCGATGCTGAATTTTCAGTTATACAGAATACTTTGTAGATCCTTATCTCCTGGTAACCACTTGATGTTTCAATTAAAGTGATTCTCCCAGGGTTCGCACCTATTCATATAAAGCAACAAGGGCAAGCTGGGTGTCAGCAAGCATGGCTATCAGGCCCTGAACTACAACAACAACAACAACAACAACGATTCCCGCCTGATACGTCCTCACAATGTATTCCCAAGTCGCGCTCTCTCGCGGGACGTCTGCACAATTTCTGCAGGAATCGCGCCTTCGCGTGGGACTTTTCGCAATTTATCCAGACGCCGCGCCTGTGACACTAAAAAATCACGCTTTCGCTTTGTCTTCCTCACGATTTGTTTGGGAATCGCGCTACCGCTTCAGACTTTCTCGCGATTCATGCAGGACGGACACTTCAACAACCCGCCTGCTCGACCTGGCCGCCTGGGCCCGCCCTCCCGACCCGCCCATAAGGGTCTATCCTCCCGATCTGCCCGTCTGGTTCTGCCATGTGTGTTCTGCTCCTAGTCCCCCTGCTGCTACTCTCTCTCGTGCACCATCCTCCTCTCTCCCCCTTGTCCCTTCCTTCCATCCGGCCTCTCCTCCCCTGCCTCAGGCACGAAGTACACGTCGTAATTAAGAAAGGTATACCCCAAAGGGGGTACGATCGAAGACGAAGAGAGCGGGCACTGAGGGTCGGGAATCTACGTGTTGAGTGGCACGCGAACAGATGACGCAAACCTTGTTGCTGACTTTCGAACTACGACAACCATGGCTCCCGCGTGATATGCCCTCACGAATTGTTCCCACATTTTCTCTCGCGCGGGACGTCCTTACAATTTGTCAGGAACCGCGCTCTTGCGTGGAACTTTTCCGCAATTTATTCAGACGCCGCGCCTTCGACATTCAGTCATCACGCTCTCGCCCTGGACTTTCTCACGACTTATTTGGGAGTCGCGCTGTTGATCGAAACCTTCTCGCGATTCATGCAGGACGCACGCTTCAGCAACCCGCCTGGTCGACCTGGCCATCTTGGCCAGCCTTCCCGACCCGCCCGTTAGGGTCTACCCGCCCGATCTGCCCGTCTGTATATGCCAAGTGCTTTCCGTTCCTAGCCCCCCGTCTTGCTATTCTCTCTGCTGTTCCATCCTCCTCTCTCCCCCTTGTCCCTTCCTTTCCTCCAACCTCTCTTCCCTTGCCGCAGGGGCTGCATGCAATACGCGATGCAGGTGAGAAAGATGCAACCCCAAGTTGGCACGATCGAAGACAAGGGGGTCGGGTATTGAATATTCGGGATACACGTGTTCCATGGCACGCGGCCGGACAAGAGCGAACAGTCTTAAGATGAATGTTGTTGGCGTTGCTAGTGATGTTGATGTTGTTGTTGTTGTTGTGATTGGTGGTGGTGGTGTTGTTATTAGTGTTGTTGGTGGTGTTGTTATTGCTGGTGTTGGTGTTGGTGTGTGTTGTTGTTTTTTGGGAGTTGTTGTTGGTTGTGGTTGATGTGGTGCTGTTGTAGCTGCTGCTGATGTTGATGGTATTGTTGTTGGTGGTGTTGTTATCGTTGGTGTTGTTGTTGTTGGTGTTGTTGGTGTGTTGCTGCCGCTTCTGTTGGTGATGGTGCTGTTGTTGTTGATGGTGTTGTCGTTGATGTTGCTGTGGCTGTTTCTGTTAGGGTGCTGTCGAGCTCTCACGGTCGAATACGAAGTATTGTTGATCCCCTTTCTGGGGATCATTGTGTTTTTCAATGGAAGTGCTTCCCCCGGGGCTCTCATTTTTTTCCGCCAGGGAAAATCGCTAGGTTCAAACTGTGCCCCTGGCCCCCGGGTTACCACAGCAACGGCTCCCGCCTGAGACGTCCTCACAGGTAGGCATAGCCCCCTCTCCCGCCTGAGATTTTCCCGCATTTCACGCAGGAATCGCGCTTTCGCTTCGGACTTCCTTACACTTTATTCAGGAATCGCTCTCTCGGCGCTCTGGAGTCTCGCTCTCGCTGGAGACCTGTCTGCAATGTACTCAAGGATCGCGCTCTTGCGTTGGAATTTCCCGCAATTTGCTTAAGCGGCGCGCTCCCGACACTCAGGCACCCAGGAGTCGCGCTCACGCTCAGGCAGGACTTCCTCACAGCTTTCTCACGAGTCGGGATCTCGCTGCCCTTCGTGGCCCCGTTGCAGCCCTTCGTGGACCCCTCGCTGCCCTTCGTCGACCCGTTGCAGACCTTCGTGGACCCGTTGCAGCCCTTCGTGGCCCCCTCGCTGCCCTTCGTGGCCCCGTCGCTTCCCTTCGTGGCCCCGTTGCTGCCCTCAGTGGCCCCGTCATTCCCCTCCGCCGCCTAATACATGTATGCACTTTGTGGCCCCCGCTCGCTCGCGCCCGCCGTGGCTCCATATGCATGCCCTTCGGGGCCCCGCTGTCGCCCTTTGTGGCCCCCTCGCTGTCCTGCGTGGCACCGTCGCTACCCTCAGTGGCCCCATCGTTGCCCCCACTGTGGCCCCGCATAGTCTGCCCTTCGTGGCCCCAACTCGTTCGCGCCCTTCGTGGCCCCAGACGCATGCCCTTCGTGGCCCCGCTGTCGCCCTTCGTGGCCCGCTTTCTGCCCTTAGTGGCCTCGCTGTCGCTCTCGCTTTCGCTCGTCGTCGTCGTCGCCGCCGTCGCCGTCGCCGTCGCCGTCGCCGTCGCCGTCGCCGTCGCCGTCGCCGTCGTCGTCGTCGTCGTCGTCGTGGTCGGTCCCCTGTCCGTCCCTCGTGGGGTCGGTGCCGCCGATCAGCGCTGCCGCTGGCCAGGCCGACGGTCCGCGGCCGTCCCGCGGCTTGCCGGGGTCCGGCCTGCGTGAAAGAACGATATTCCCTCCCCAAAAGGGGCACGATCGAAGACGAAGAGGGTGGACATCGAGAGTTTGGGAAATGCTTGTTGAATGACACTCGAGCAGATAAGAGCGCACAGTCTTACAATGATTGTTGGTGTTGCTGTTGTTGTCGCTACGTGTTGCTGTTGTTGTTGTTGTTGTTGTTGTTGTTGTTGTTGTTGTTGTTGTTTTTGTTGATGATGTTGTTGTTGTTGTTTTTGTTGTTGTTGTTGTTGAAGATTATTAATTCTAAAGAATAATTATTGTTGGGGCCCCTGGTGCACGGCCCCCCTGCGCCGCCTAGGCCGCAGCTACATTTTCATCATTTTCGTGAGGAAGCCTCAGGTAATTCGATGTGATCAAGATCCGGTTGTTTTGTTCCCCCCCGCTTTCCCTTGCAAAAAACACTATAAAATGACATTTCTTGTTCTAATATAATCAAATTTCAAGAATCCCTTGCAAAAAATAAGGTAAAGTGGACATTCGCGCGCGCAAGACGAAATCCTTCCAAAAGCTTAGTGTTCGGAGCGATTTTAACATAAAAACATCAAAAAACCAATGGTTTTTCAACAAAAAAATGTCAAAATCTCATCCCGCGCGCTCTTGCGGATTCGTAGGAAACCCAACACTTTTTAAACATTTCTGTCAAACGGGCTTTTGCGAGCAACTTTTTCGAACTTCTGCGACAACGGTTGCGCACCTGCCAGGGCCATCATCCCTGTCAAATAATACCATGCGGGACACATTCGTTTTTTCTTCGCGCGCGCACGCCGAAATCTCCAAAAACCATTGGGCTTCTTAAGAATTTTAGCACCGCGCATCATAAAATCACACGAATCGCACCGTAGGTCCTCGAAAAACACCTGCACGACTTTTCAAAATTTCTACCCGCGCGCGCTGTCCTAACAACTTCTGTGGGTGTGTACTCCACGCCAGTGTAGTAGCCACGGTCGTCCGCAGGCCACGAAGTGAAGTGTCCGAACGTCATAGGGCGGGAAGCTGGGTGTGGGTGGTGGCGAAGAGTCGTGTGGATATTTGGTAGAGCTTGCACTGCCCCCCCACAAAGTGGGGGTATTGGCTGGCGTCGCATGAAAACCCTGGCACTGGTGAGAACACTGAGCGTTCGGGTAAAGTGATTGTTGTTGTTGTTGTTGTTGTTGTTGTTGTTGTTGTATTGCTGTTGTTGTCGCTGATGTTGCTGTTGCTGTTGCAGTTGTTGATGTGTTTCCCCCATCAGTGCTTGCACCGCAGGTATCCTAGCGGAAGTTGATCCTAGCGGAAGTTGAAGGATTTGGCGAAAGTTCCCCGCAGATTT